TAGACGTCGTCTCGAGACCAAAAAGTTCGTATGACTCATAAATATTCTTCATGTTTATATTATAAGTAATGATAAAAATAATGAAAATTTGAGATTAATAATATGATAAATATTATGTTATTAGTACTTAACCTTTTAGGCCAATTGATATTTAGCCTGTTTGAGGTGCACTCCTTTTTTCTCCATGAGAGGATTTCGAATCCACCTCATGACAATTTGTTAAAAAAAAAATTATGTTATTAAATTAATTAATACATATAATATTATAAATTTAAAAAAAATAAAAAAATTGATTATTAAATAATATTAAATTTATCTTTTAATATTTTAAATAATATAACTTATGTAATTTTAAATTTTAATCCCAAATTTTTATTCTATTTACCATTATTCATATATTATTTATTCCGTGAGTAAAAATGTAACGAAAATATCAGGGAATTGAAAAACTGTACAAACTATCAACAGCCGGCATACATGGTGAGAGTCAGGTTACAATATATGATATACATACAAATGTCATCTGCGCAAATTAGTAACACAGGGATCATATCATGTATTATCCTTAAACTATGTATGAAGTGGAGAAGCAGATGGCCCTGGTGCGCCCCAAGAAGGAGCTTTTCCACCAGCAGTACACCCAAGTTACCCAACAGTTTTCCCTTGAGGATCATTCCTCGAAGTGTGATCTGAACTTTGGGAAGTTGCAATTTGAGAGCCTGCCTCGTTGACATCAGGTTCCTGAAGTTGCTCTAGTGCTTTCACTACTGCGTTCATGCTTGGCCTGAGCTTAGGATCTGCTGAGAGACATTGGAGTGCTAGAGTAGCAGCTTTCCTCGCTGCATCCAATGGGTATTGATTTTCAATGCGAGCATCCATAACTTGGAAAACTTTGCGTTTGCTGTTAAGGTAAGGCTTGGCCCATTCGATCAAATCCTGTTCTCTGGATGGCCTGTTCTTGTCCAATACTCGTCTCCCAGATAACATTTCGAGGAGAACAACCCCAAAACTGTATATGTCACTTCTGGCAGTTAAATGACCTGCACACCAAGAAAAATAACAACTTAAGCAAATGTCCAGATAGAAGGTTATTCAATGAAGCATAAACATATTGGTTATGGAGGATGATAGTTACACAACATAGTTCTTTTCATATTATTATTATAGGGAATACAGAGTAGATTGTATGTATAATGATGAAAGAGGCAAGTTGAAAGATATTTATACCTGTTGCCACATATTCAGGAGCAGCATAGCCATAGGTACCCATGACCCTTGTAGAGACATGGGTTCTATCACCTGTTGGTCCATCCTTGGCCAAGCCAAAGTCAGAGAGTTTTGCACTATAGTTCTGTCATTTTGTATAAGGAAAATTAATATGTCAGGGAACTAACATATATGATAATTAAATCTTTGTGGATTTCAGTAATTAAACATGTTTGCATACCGAATCAAGCAAAACATTTGAAGTTTTGAAGTCTCGATAGATGACTTTTGCCTCATCACTATGAAGAAATGCTAGGCCCTTTGCAGCACCAAGGGCAATCTTCATCCGGTCGTTCCAAGAAAGAGGTTGAGCATTCCCTGTTTCAACAACACGGATCAACTTGAATAATAAATTTAAAGGAGATGTTTCTATCATTTTCTGGTTATGAATATAGAATCACTTTTTGAAACAAAGGACTTAATTGGTTAAACAAGGGAAGTTATAGACTAATAACTCACTTCTAAATAGATGATTCTCTAAGCTGCCTCTGGGCATAAATTCATAAACCAGAAGTCGGTGGACATCCTCCAAGCAGTAACCAATTAGTTTCACAAGATTAGGATGATACAGTTGACCCAGGTATTTGATTTCTGCCTAAAAGCCAAAATGCAAGAGGAAATCAGTAAATCACACTATCTGTAAATTACCTATTCCAGTTGCCCTGTTATCCAATCAACCATTTGAAACCATTTTTAAAGTACCAAATGCTAATCTTGGTGAAATTGTTCAAGCTCAATTGAACTGTATAAAGAATTATAGAAGTCCAACAAAAAAAGGAAATGAAGTTTGAAAATGAGTCAAGGGACAGAAGAAATGATACACACCAACCATTCCTGATGACCTTGGAAACCTTCTTTGCTTAGCCTCTTTACTGCAATAACCATCCCAGTTCCAGGCTTAGCAGGTGCAAAGGAATGTTCATCAATCCAACCCTTAAAGACACAACCAAAACCACCTTCACCTAAAACACTATCTGGCCGGAAGTTCCTAGTGGCTGTTTTCAATTCATTAAAGCTGAAGCTCTTCAAATTAGAGGACTGCAAGATCTCTCCCTCTGTCCGCTGAGGCATCAAGAGTGAGAGAGATGAAAACTTGCGGCTTGAACAGCTCAGATCATTTGCATCCCTGCTGCTGTTCTTTGAAACCGTTTCTGCACTTTCTGTTCAAGAAAAAAAAAGAAGAAGTTAGAAACCGTTTCTGCACACTTCAATACCATACATATATCTTGTAACTTTTATAGAAATGCATAGTCTTTATAAAGTCAACCTTGAATAATAAAAAACAATAAAGAATCTTACAACTTTGTGTTTTAGCTCAATCAGAAATTCATTACCAGATTGAAACAAAAAAAAAAAAAAGAAATTCATTATCCAGTTTTACATTCTTTTCCAACACTTCAAAATAAACAGTTGTCTTTATAATTATATATCATGTTACCATAACATTCCAGAATGAAAGAATGGGTTTGACCAAAGAAACATATAATCTATTGATATATCACCAAATTATTCTGCTTGATGCTTATTTTTTTTCTAAAAAGGGATAATAACAAACACAGCCGCAACAAAATGAATCTTGGTCAATCCAACAAGACCCAGAATCTAAGATAAAATTCCGTAACTTTCAAAGAAAACCCACCAAAGTCTTGATCTTTCAAAAAGCAAGCTATAAAATCATCTGCTAAGATAAGAGCCCATTCAGGCAAAACATCAAACGCGTTACCTTCACGCAAAAACACAACTTAAACATGCATAAAGAACAAGAGCAAACAGCAAAGACAAAGCATATATACCATGGTGCGTAGGACTCTCGGCTTTGATTCTAGCACTGAAGCAAGACCCCATGAGCACAGAGCTGAACTTTCTTGACTCCTCCTCTGAAAACCCAAAATAAAAGTCCCAAGAAGAAGAAGAGAGCAAAACCGATACAGGCAAAACAGAGGCCGTGAAACAAAGAATCCAAGTGTGAAACCGGAAACTTTTATACGTCAGTGGCAAGGAATTGAAAATTCGAACGAAGAAAAAAGCAATGAAATAATACGTGGAGAAACAATGATTGAGTAAGAAGGAGGAAGCATGGAAATCAGTAGACTCAGTTGGGGTGGTTTTGTAGTCTTTTGGCCTTGCTTGGCCTTCATGGAAGGTTCTCTGCAGACGTTCGCAAGTGAAGAAACAGAGAGGGTTGACTTGACCTCCAGCCTTGCGGGTCCGAGGTGAGAAGTTACGTGGTTTTATTGCTGCCGTGAATATATAACACGTAAAAACATTACCAAACATTTCCTTCTCCCAAATTCACATTTAGATCTTTTAAGTGACGTTGCTGTCACATTTTTAATTTTTAATATTATATTATTAATTTGTTAAAAACTAAAAAATGTAAAAATTTTGAGAAAAAAATATAATGTAAAAGGTTTAATAAATAATTATATTAGTAAAATATAATATTATTATGGTTAAATCTCTAATTTGATCTTTAAATTATTATATGGACCTCTTATTTGATTATTAAACTAAAAAAATCTTTAATTTAATCTCTGAATTATTGTACGAACATTCAATTTGGTCCATATTGTTTACCAATTTATCTCAAATTAGTCATTTCGTACAAGAAACAACTAACATGTTCGTTACTTAACGACAAAAAACAGTAACTTAACAGTTACGTGTCACGTTAATAACAAGACATGTCAGTTGGTTTTTGTACGAAATGATCAAGTTGAGATAAATTGGTAAATAATATGGACTAAATTGGGGTCCATTCAATAGTTTAAGGGTCAAATTAAAATTTTTTTTAGTTTAGAGAACAAATCAAAAGTGCATATAATAATTCAATAATCAAATTAAAAATTTAATCTATTATTTATTTAAAGTGTGATAATAACCTCACCTCAGGTTTTTTTTCTAACTGCAATTTCGGTAGAAGTTAAAACTTTTACCGTCATTATAAGTTAGCAAATTTCGTATTTAGCCACTTGATTTTATACCTTTTATAGTTCTATTACCTCCGGTTTCCTACATCTGGTTTGTGTATGTACCATTTAAATCAAGATTTCTTTTCAGAAAAATTATTATTGAATAATTTAATTGTTTATTCTATTAGTAAATAAAATAACATAATTATAATGTCATGTTATATTTATAATATAATATATCATTATATGATTAATTTTTTTATTTAAAAATTTATATAATATTATATATAACTACTCATTAATAGCTTATTTAGTTTGAGACTAATAAAAAGAAGGGAGAAGATTTTTTAACTTGTTAGAGTGTAATATTTAGAAATATTATAATTTAAATGAATAAAAAAACTCTTTCCTCTCTTCTCTTTTTTTTTTACCAGGTAGATGGTTAGGAAGTTAGTAGAGTTAGTTTGTTAGCAGCTGGAATTTTTCCAAGAAAGTGAACGTTCCACCCCTCATTTGAGGTGTGGAGTTCACGGCGGTGGCAGAACTCGAAATCCTGACCTCTGCCTCACCCAAGCCCTAAAGTTTAGGGCCAACCAATTGGGCCACAGGCCCGGTTGGCCTTCTCTTTCCTTCTTCTTTTTTAAATCAAAGATAATATTAATAACATATTATAATTATAAATTTATAATTTTAGATGATAGTATAATTATAGTATTTTTAATTAATAAATTATTTATGAAATAAAAGTGTGGATAAGTAAGAAAAATATTGTTTTGCATAAGATTTCCTACTTTAAAAAAAAAAGGGGGTGGGGGGTGAGGGAGGAGACCGGGAGAGTAAGAAGAAGAAGAGGATAATGTGAATCCCAAGCTAGTGGTTAATTTGTTAGCCGCGTTTTGACTCTTCCAGATACACGGAAAGGCAGCTGCCCTGCTTGGCGTTTGATTTTTCAATATAATTGGGTAGGCGCCGTTGGATTAGAAAAAAAAAAAAAAAATTTGCTGATGACCAGACGCCCTTTCCAGGTGGGGATCAAAGGGCACTCTCTTTTTAAAACTTCAAATCAACATTTCATTTCATTTGCAATCACACGTGCTCATGAAAACTCCTACTAAACTCCAACAGCCACTCGGTTTTCGTAACATAAATTTTAGATTAGAACCGTTCAGTTTTTATGAGTAACGTATTTGAATTTCATAGATTTTATTTTATTTTTTTAATTAATATATATAATTAATTTTAATATGATATTAAAAAAAAAAAAAAAAAAAAAAAAAAAACCCTCCTACCAGACGCTTGCCTAGCAGTAACGTTTACGTCTAAATGGGAATTTAATGCAAATTTACCAAAAGTCAGCATGACGTGGGCTGCTGTGGTAGTCTTTTTCTAAGGAGTGTTTGTTTCCATTTATAAAAGGTTATCAACTTAAAATATTACTTACAGTCTGATACTAATTGAATCTAATTAAATAAGTTAAATATTTTAAATTGGAAATAATTATTATTATTAAATATTTTTTATATTAATTATATAACGAAATGAGAGATAATTTTTTTTATCTATATGTTATATGACTTAAATTTAGTATTTTTTATTTTCAGCGAAAAAATATTATCACTAAATTATTTAGATCGTTGATAATTATTATTAAATATTAAATATTAATTATCAATCATAATTAAATGATTAATCTAAATAACCCTTAAGTCAACCGTCCACTATCTAAATGTGGGGTCCTACCTGAGAAAAAAAGATCACCATCCTTAATCTCAATTATTATGGTTAAATTTTATTATTTTATAGTTTAAATTATATTAAACTATAAAATTAAGATCTTTTAATGATGAAGAATCCTTAATATCTAAAAAGCTTATTTTTCATTTAATTATTTATATTTTATAATTTAATATAATTTAAATTATAAAATATTATTATTATTTACTCTTTTTTTTTTTTACTTAAAAAAATTGTTGAAGATATGAAGAATAATACCTGAAAATATATTTCAGGACTGTTATGTATAACTAAGTTCCTACGAATTAATAATCACCACATCGTATAGTATCAATATAAAATATTATTATTATTATATGCAGTAATGCAGACTCCGTTTTGGATCGTACTAACTTCCATGGATTTTAGTTTAGGAAGACTAAAATAACTGAAGGTCAAAAAGCTTGGTGGAGAAAGTGAAAAAGGGTCGGATGAGCTAATTAAAATATTATCCCACCTTCAATATGTTAAAAAGTTGTGCATGTAACTGTAACTCTACATCATGTGGGGCAATCCAGCCCACGTCCATCTCCTTTTGCTCGTAAAATTTCATGGCCACTAATGGAAACCAGACAAAACTCATGGAAGAGAATAAAAGTTGTTGCGAGGTGAGGGGGATTCAAAGTCATCAACATTTAGCATAGTGTTTAGGTGGAAAAACGAGGAAACTGAGGGGGAGTGGGGAATGTCTCTCCCCCTCTCTCCTTCTTCCTAACCCCCATTTTGACTTTCAGAATGCTAAGAAAGGAACATAAATACATAAACCGTGATGCCACAATTGGTCTGCTTAATGAGGAAGGATCATACTTTAGTAGGAAAATGATTCAACCCACATAGGAATCTAATATCTTATGCGACAATAGTGCTCTATAACAATAGTCTTGATTAACTTAATTTTGTTAATAAAGCATTCATTTATTCGTTTAACATCATGTGATTGTATTGGATTCGAGATTATTTCTACTCATTTAAACAATTTTAGGGGGCAACACCGCCAACTGTGTTTGTAATTTGAAGCTTTAAGTGTTGAAGTCCATATCCTGAACTGAAGCAATATTGCCTTGATTAGCTTTAATAATATATAATATATATTATATATAAACCAACATGGAGAAATAAGGTCCCCTACCGTTTACTAGGTGGAATATGAATATGAATATGACCCTTTCCAGGGGGCACTGTGACGTTTACACGGCGTGGAGTGGAGAATGGGTTATCAAATTCTAGAAGCGAAATTGGAAGGAAATTGATGCCTGGATCGATGACCAACTTAAATAACATAAAACAATTACAAGAACAATGGCAAGACCTCGGTCACCATCGCCAGCTTTACTTAAGCTTGCAATGTCAAAATAGGTGGCACCATGATTAAGAAAAACTAAAGAAAAGCTAGGCCATCTAAACTGCTCAGCATTTTCCATTTACTTGCCTTTGAGACTGCTCTATGGAATTTATATACTTCTATCTAAATTCTCTCTGTAAATAAATTAGATGGGGCCAATCTATGGGCCATTCTTTTGAAGATTGACAATTCGCCTTGCCCACCTCTAACTTAATCATACGTAACAGAACTGGAATTTTTCAAAGATGTCAAAGCTTTCCATAATTTTGCCTTAATCATTACCAACGAGCACATCCATTGATGATCTCAAGGATAAAGTAAACACTAATTGGTTTGCAAAATGCAGTTTGAGGTACAATAGAAATACAACTTATTCCCAAAACAGTTTGACTAAATCATACAAAAACAGATTGGTTAACGCACCCGCTCATGCTTGATACTGAGCTCAAGCATTTTTCTTCACCTCTGCAGACTTGATGATATCAATGAACTCCGGCTGCAGAAGAAAGGGGGCAATCAAAACAAGAAACTATTGAAAATAAATAGTAATGCAACAAAAGATGGAGAAGAAGAGGGGAAGCAATATTAACATTACCTTCAGAGAAGCTCCACCAACTAAGAAACCATCAACATCAGGCTGAGCTGCTAGTTCCTTACAGTTGGCACCATTGACAGACCCTGAAATGATCACCCATTTGAAAAATGAACTATGACAGGTAGGCTTGGGTTTAAGAAGACTCAAATGGTAAATCTCAAAGATGAGCAGATGCAGCGTAGTCTGAAAATACCTCCATAAATAATCCGGGTTGATGTGGCAACTTCAGGATTGACATTCTTTCCAAGCCATTTCCTCAGCTCAGAGTGAACCTACAATATAGACAAGATCAACCATATGCTTTAGAGAATCATACAGAACAAAACGCACATTATCAGTAGAATTAAGGGACAAACATGCAATGCAAGTTTGTTCATATACGCAGGGATTTTTCAAGTTCAGACAAAGTTAAAGAACATTAAGGTTTCAATCAACAAAAGTCTAGCTCACCTCTTGAGCCTGAGCTGGAGTTGCAACCTTCCCAGTTCCAATTGCCCAGACAGGCTCATAGGCCAAAACAACATCATTCCAGTTTGACACACGTTCTGCATTTAAAAATATAAGCAGGAAATCAGCCAAGGATATCATTGAAGTTAGTTTACAAACTGATGATGCAATAGTAACATTAATATTAGAAACAGGTGCAAATTACCCTATAGAAGCCATCAATTTAATAACATTCATTTGAATCTGGAAATTCTTCTTAGGGTCAGCAAATAAGTTGAAATATAGAAATCAAATTGAGAACTAGTGCGGTCCCTGAATCTCACCAATAAAAAATTTCAACAGCACAAATTTTAAAATAAGAGATAGAAGCCGGAATATGCAAGCCGGTGACAGGTAGAAAGACAAATTTCATTATTTTACATGAGCTATCATGGGGAAGAGAAATGAAAATGAGTTCGAGACAAAGAAACATAGAAACAATTTAAGTAATAAGAATGTAAAATAAATCACACAGTTGACATGCAGTAATGAGTGACTTTCAGTATCAAATACACAACAAAACTGCACATGATTTTTTAAAAATGGCAGGAAATTATTAAATACGAACCTGCAATTGCGTTAGTTTGTGCAGCAACAACATCCATTGTTGATCCTGCTTCACGCTGCTCAAGAGTCTCACCAACACAGGCTATTACCTTCAGGCCTTGAGAAAGTGCATATGCAACCTTATCTCCAACAAACTAAAATTATAGGCACAACAGATTGCTAAGTCAAGCATGTGTTGCAAAATTTTAGGGGAGTTTGTCATATGAACTATATTTTTAATCTTTTCCAGTTTGCTAATACTCTTTTGGCTAAAGAACCAAGCAAAGAATTAAAAGATTTGGTTTAGATTGGTTCTAGTTTGGACTATGAGATAATGTAAAACTGTTTGAATCTTTGAAAACTAGTTTTAAGCTTCACAAACAACCCCTTAACTGAAAATCATACGCTAAATAGAAGTGAAGTTGCAAGACTCAGCAAAGTCAAACAATGAAAGATGGCTTGCCTCATTTGATTCATTTAGGAGAAGCCTCCTCTCAGAGTGACCAAGAACGACCCAAGGAATACCCAAATTGACAAGCATCTCCGCACTAGAAACACATAACACATAATATCATTATCAAGTCAAATTGATATTAAAGCCACAGTGCATCTGCCAAAGTTTCTTCCCCATGGTGAAATAAAATAGCCTCCTTAGAAATCATCAAAATTCAAATTCTTTACTCTTCACGAAATTTTCATTGTAAAACACAATAAAGATGTCAAAGTGAAATCATTCAAGGTCACAGACTCACAGCAAGCATAGACATACCTAACCTCACCAGTGAAAGCACCACCTTTCTTCACCCAACAGTTTTGGGCAGCAACATGAAAATCCGGCCTCAGCGACTCTTTTACCAATGGAAGGAATACAAATGGCGGGCTAATAACAACTTCTGCATGTCACTCAAAATTTTAACAAATTACTTCAATATCCGAACAATAATAGCAATGAGCATCTAGACAAAGATTCTAACAAAGCTCGAAAAGAGAACAATGATAAATTAAGATTCTAAATCAGTAGTTTCAATCATTTGCAATGGATTTCTTTTTCCTAAAAATAAATAAACAGACTAACAGTGCTTGAATTTATATAAGGAAATGTGGGTCGAAACCAGGCCCCCAAATCAAAGACCCACTAGAGGGTTCAGAGAGAGCAGACATGTTGACCCATGGATTCAATTTCTGTGCACACTACCATGCTTCCTTCATTCTAATCTCCAGAGCATCGGCTTATTGTACACAGTTACTAACAATTAATCACAAACTCCAGATCGGATCGGAGGTGGTATCAAACAGAGAAACACAAGCTTTAAAACAGTAACTTAATCTCTTAAGTGCTATTGGTACTTACTTACCTACAACGTCCTGCGACGGCGCTTGACCTTCATTGAGAGTGTTCACTATCTTCTTCACCTCTCCTGTAGTTCCATTCTACATGCAATCTCAGATTAGAAATTTCATGACCAAACACTCCCAAACTAAATCGCACAAAGACAAAGAGAAAGAAACAGTCGATCAAAGCTTGACGATTCATATTCACTTTCTATTTCAATTTTTTTCTGTTCTTTTTCCATCGTTTTCTCGCGAGCCAAACACAGGAAGCTCATCCGATATACTATAGTAGTGATAAGAATAACTACAAAAATACAAATGATAATGTGGATCGGAGACTCACGCATTTCCAGTTACCGCCGACGAAGAACTTCCGGCCCATATTTTCTCTATGATCACGACGAGATCACGCAGCGCGACGGAATTTTAGGCTTTGGCCTTTTTCTCAACGCCCTGGGCTGGAGACGGTGCTGCTTTACCGCCGAACTTTTCAACACAGAATTACTGAAATAGCCCTACCCTTGGAATATTCTCTTTCCAGTGATAGAGAATCAAAGTAGGGGTAATTGAGTAAATCTACAATAATTTCAGTGGACTGAAACAAGCAAACGGTTTTCCTGGACCCACGGGTTTAAGTGGTTGGTTCAATAAAGCGAGTTGGTCATAGCAACAAGATTAGGTTTACATGTTACACGGCTCCTACGGGCACCACTCAAGACTCATGCAGCCGTGACTCATGTATCATGCGCAAGGTGCATTTTTCTCTTCTTCCATAATTTCTCTTTTAATACACCTCTGGTGATTCGAGGAAAATAGAAGCAAAATAAAGAGAAGGGAAGTCAAATAAAAAGATATTTTTTCCATTAATTTGAGTAAATAAAGAAATTAAAAAGTAAATGGCTTATCTCTTTTTCTTTTCTTTTTAATTTCTGATTTTTTTAGTAATGAATAGAAAAATTAGTTCTCCTCCTTCCAAACCATGCATATCTTAGGTGAATGGATGACAAATTATTGAATGGATTAATGGTGAAACCAATACTCAATTTAAGATAAAACATTTTTCTTTTTTTAAAATTGAGTTTAAACTTTTTTCATTTTTATTACAAAAATTAATTAGATAAGACCTTTAATTTTTATTCTTTCTAAAATTCCATGTTTTTAATTTTGTTTTTTGATTTTTTAAAACTCATGGTAAGACTCATGCCCAACCATAGATGTATGTGGCTCCGTTGTTGGAATGGATAACTTATGTGTGAATGGGGCAAGTGGTGGGCAGGTATAGATGGACGGAAGAGCAAACCAGTTATGTATGAATGGATGGGCAGATGGATAATTTTATATATATTAACGATCGACATTCATATATAAGTCGTTTGTCCATTTGTTTATTGGACGAACAACTTTTGTATGAATGTTGATCGTCTATGAATGTATTCGTTTATCCATATATAAATATATTTGTTCATTTATTCATCTATCTATTCAAACATAACTTGTCTGTTCCTCTATTTGTCTGCATGTACGTACATAAGTTTTCTGTTTATTTATCTGTTTGTAATTTATCTGTTTGTAATTTATCTGTTCATCCCATTCATACATAATATATCTGTCCATCCAAACATAAGTTGTTTGTTTGTCCATTCATCCTATTCATACATATATATATTTATATATATGATGTTTGACCATTTATTCATTCATCCATCCATCCATAGATACTTAAGTCATTTGTTTGTCCATCCGTCCTTAAGCCGTCCATCCCTTAATTCATACAAAAGTGTGTGGTATTTCATACATCCGTCTATTTCTCGTTTATCCATCCATATTAAGCGGTTTGTCCGTTCGTACTTACAAAAGATATTTGACTGTCCATTATTTAATCTATCTGTTCATCCGTTAATCCATTCGTTCGTCCATGACTTGTTGATGAATGGACTAGTGACTTGAATGCTTAAATGATTGGAGAGAAGTATTATGGGGTGGCATTATTATCACTCTCTTAATTAATTATTAATGTCAAATTTTTTTATTTTAATTGATTATTATATTTTTTAATTTATTAAAATATAAAAAAAATAAAATTTTTTAAAAATATAATGTAATAATATAATAAATAATTATACTAAAAAATATAATATTAATTATTTAAGATGTAACAATAATTCCACCATGAATTATGTTATGAATAGATGGATCGACCAACACTAATTTATTATGCCATCCATTTATCCATAAGCCATTCCTCTGCTGTTCGTTTAGGAAATAATATCAATACTTACTACTTATTAAATTTTACTATTATTAAGCCTCAAAATGCGTTAGGACTTGAAAATTAAAAAAAAAAAAAAGAGACTAAAATGTTATTAGTATCAATATAAAATTTCTATTTATTAGCTTCTTTTAACTTTTTTTTAAAGTTTAATTTCAAATTATGGTTTTATTTAGAGATTTCAATATTTTTTTTCTTTAGAATAGAATGATCATTATCTATTTATTTTTTTATTATTAGTTAAAAATTGATAACTAAATGAACTCAAATTAAAATTATTACTTTATTTATAAGATAAATAAAATTTAAAATATCTTTTTTTTTGGGTTGCCCATCTATAAAAAAATGAGCAAAAAAATTATATTTAAATTAAATTTGAACCTCATATAATAAAAACTCTTTTAAATAATCCTACTAACTCAATTTAATTTGTGTAACTTTTAAATTAAACATAACTTTTTAAAAATAATTGAGAGACTAAAATTATTCTAAATTAAAAATTTAGTGACTTGATTTGGCGTTAAACTAGTGTTTGTCCCCGTAAGTTGGCAACTAGTGTCCTAAGCAAGATACAGATTAAGGCGTCACAGTTGGACATTTTTTTTTCTCCCTTTAATATTTCGATTGTAATTTTATGACAATAAAAATTTATTGTAAAATTTACAATATTTTCATGATATTATAGATGTATGCATATTAATTTGTGTATCCGTACAAATTAAAAGGGTCCATAAAAATTACACTATTGTAACAATTTAAGTCAAAAACTCATTTTTTTTCTTAAATTTGTGGTTTTTTTATTATATAATAGTGACTCTACAATCAGTGTTCCTTAATTTAAGTCAATACATCTTTTAAAAAAAATTATGATGTTTATATTTCACATAATAGTGATTGTACAAAAATCAAGGTTCCTTAATTTAAGTCAATAGATCTTTTTTTTTTCCTTAAAATTTTGGGTGTTCAGTAATTAATTATTTAATTGTAAAATTTTTTATATCTTTAAAAATATTGTAGTAAAAAAACTTAAATATATTTAGTTTAGCAACAAAAAATCATAAACTTCATTTAAATATTTTTATTAATAATTATAACTTAAAATATATAACTTATTTAACTTATCTTTTCAACCTTTTAAGTTTTTAAATTATTATATATTTAAATTTATTTATATAATATGATTTTTAAATCTAAACTTACAAACAATTCACGAATTATTAAGAAAAATTAAACTCAAATTTAATTTTTTATCAATTTTAATATTGAGTTTGAATTCAATTAATTTATTAAATAAATCGAGTTTAAATCAAATTTAACTTGAGGACTTCACAAATTACTCATATAATTACTCTATTTGTCAACAATTTGATTATTATATTAAAAAAAAGAAAAAAAAAAAAGAGTAGACCTTTGTGAGGTTATGCGACGCCGTATTTGGAAACGTTGATCTCGCGGACCGCCCGAACAAACATAGGCCGTCCGATGAGAAAAAACCCAATCAAAACCCCAACCCCAATTCCCAACTCTCCCGCTCTAGATTTCAAATTCAAATTCAAAATTTCAATCCATCCCAAGGTAGACGTTAGAATACCACTCCCCTTTAACAGACATCTCAATTCCCAAACCCCCAAAACACCCCGCCTCTCTGAATACCTGCTCAAGCAACCATGGTTGCCGACAAACTTCCGTTGCAAAGCAGCAACAATGTCAATGTCAGGCCTCAGAAGACGATCGAGGAGACTTACCAGAAGAAATCCCAATTGGAACACATCCTGCTCCGACCCGACACCTATGTCGGATCCATTGAGAAGCACACCCAGACGCTCTGGGTCTACGAGAACGACGAGATGGTTCATCGTTCGGTCACCTACGTCCCCGGCCTCTACAAGATCTTCGATGAGATCCTCGTCAACGCCGCTGATAACAAGCAGAGAGATCCATCGATGGATTCCCTCAAGGTGGTTATAGATGTGGATCAGAATTGCATCAGCGTGTACAACAACGGAGACGGAGTTCCTGTTGAGATGCACCTAGAAGAGGGCGTGTATGTTCCCGAATTGATTTTCGGCCATCTGTTGACCAGTAGTAATTACGATGATACGGTAAAGAAAACCACCGGTGGGAGGAACGGTTACGGTGCTAAACTTACCAATATCTTCTCCACGGACTTTGTGATCGAGACAGCTGATGGGAAGAGGCAAAGGAAATACAAGCAGGTATTCGGTTTTCCCTAATTCCTTTCCATTTCCTTAGTTTGTTTGACCTAAATTTTGTCATATTTGGTGTTAAATTAAATGGGAATTAATTATAAGCCGGAAGTAGTTTTACATGCTTTGATTTCCTGTCATTGAAATTCTGGCACTCTTTTGTAATTCCTGGTGTTGTATGCATTAGTTTATCAGGATAATGCATTCTATTTCTGTTTCTGCAACATACCAAACAGTACTAATTGTTTCTGCTTACTTGCAGGTTTTCTCCAACAATATGGGGAAGAAATCAGAGCCGGTGATAACCAAGTGTAAGGAGGGTGAGAATTGGACTAAGGTTACTTTTAAGCCTGATTTGGCAAAGTTCAATATGACCCATTTGGAGGACGATGTGGTTGCCCTGATGCGAAAACGAGTTTTTGACTTGGCTGGTTGTCTTGGCAAGACCGTGAAGGTTGAGCTGAATGGAAAACGAGTCCCTGTAAAATCGTTTCTTGAATATGTGAATCTCTACCTAAGTGCTGCCTCAAAACATAGACCAGATCCCTTGCCCAAGTACTAATCTGAATTCTATTAGTTAAGCATTTGTTTTGTTTAGTAAGGAACTTTGCATATTAAACGTTGGTTACTGGATATGCCATCTTGAGCAGGATTATGGAGAAAGTTAACGATAGGTGGGAGGTCTGTGTGAGTCTCAGTGAAGGGCAGTTTCAACAGGTACAAGCAGTTTTGTTTTTGGGTACATTTTTGGATAGTTTAGCGCTAAAGAGATTGAATGTCTTATGCTAATGAGTTGATTTTTGATAATCAGGTCAGCTTTGTTAATGGGATCGCTACAATCAAGGGTGGAACCCATGTTGACTATGTCACTAACCAGATATCTAACTATGTGATGAATGTTGTAAATAAGAAGAACAAGAATGCTAATGTCAAAGCACATAACGTGAAG